ATTTGGAAAATTGTAAACCTCCCCCTAGGAATAGCGAGGCTGTGCACCCACCCACAGACCCCCACTGGGGTCTGAAAACCCAGAAACCTCCTCCCTAGGCATAACCAGGCTGTTTCGTCTGCCCAGCCACCTATGGACCCCCACTGTGACCTGGGGACCCAGAGACCTTTCCAGGAAGCAACAAGCTGTCCCTTTTGCCCACTACCCTTATTAGAAAGCAGGGACCAGAGATCTCCCTCAAGAATCATCAGAATGTCTCTCTGTGCCCCCACCTCAATGTCACTGTAGGACTTACTGTGGGAAGGTGTCAGTGCTGCCCACTCCAGGGCCCCTGCTTGCTAAGGACCTTTGGCTCAGCTTCTGACTTGATTGGCTCTTTCATCTAATGCTCACCTAACTAACCAGGCCTCTAGGTGTTCTACTTTCCCTATCAGCCTCCCAGGGAATCTGACCACCGACCTCTCAGGAAGGCTCAGACCTGGCCCAGGGAGAGAAGACAAAAACCCCACTAGCCTCCATCATAAGCCCCTACCAAAACAGCACACTGGTTGGCATACACCCAGTCCCTCTTTCCTGTCTTTGGAGGCCCAGATCCCCTGGTTCATCTTAACCCTGGTTGCTAGCTCACTTCATTATTGAAGTTGGCTACAAATTAAAAAAAAAAAAAATTACATTATAGCTCTGTCCACAAAGTTCAGCTCTTTCCAAACAAGCCTAGCCAAGCTGAGCCCAGCCTACTTATCCCAGCCCAGCTCAGGCCAGACCAGCACAACTTAGTTCATCCCAGTTCAGCCAAGTCCACCTCAACCCAGCCCAGCCTGGCTCTGTCCATGAAGCCCAGCTGAGCAGAGTCCAGATGACCAGAGAAGATAAGCCAACTCAGTCTTGCTCCCCATGGTCCAGCCTAACTCAGCCCAGATAGACTAGCTGAACTCAGTTCAGTCAAGCTCAACTCAAGTCAGCCTAGCTTGATACTGCCTGTCCCAGTCCAACCCAGTCTAACCCAGCCAAGCTTAGCACAGATCAGCCCAGTTAACTGTAGCTCTGTCCACTCCATTCAGTCAACTTTATTTAAACCCAGCCTACCCAAGTCAGATCAACACAGTCTATTAGAGCTATCAAGCCCACTTCTGCTCAGCCCAGCTTGCCTACCCTAGTCTAGTTTGCATCTGTCCAGCTTAGCACAACCCAGCCAAGACCAGCCCAACCCAGTACACCCAACCAAACCAGGGCAGCCCCACCCTGTCCAGCATAGGATAGCCCAAGCTCCCCAGCTCATCTCAGGAAAAGCAAGTCAAACCCATCACAGACCAGCTGAGCTCAACCCAGCCCAGACCATATCAGTTCAGTGAAAGTCAGCTCAGTATATCCCAGCTCAAACAGACCAGCCCTACCCTGCAAAGCCTAGGACAGCCTAAGTCATCCCAGCTCGGCCACGGCCAATCAGCCCAGACCAGCCCAGACCAAACAAGCCAGGCCGGGCAGCTGATACTAGCCCAGCCCAGGTCATCCCATCCCTGGCCAGTCTGTCTCAGCTGACTACAGCTCAGCTCATACCAACCCAGTGCACCTCCACTCAGCCCAGTCCAGCTTAGCCCAGTAGAGCCCAGGCCAACTGATCCTTGTTCAGTTCCAGCTGAGCCCAAACAAGGCCAGCCCAGCTCAGCTCAGTTCAGGCCATTTCAACCTAGTTTAGCTCAGCTCAATTCAGTTCAGCTGAGGCCAGCTCAGCTCAGGCCAGGTCATTCCATCCCAACAGGCTCAACACAGCTCAGCTCAATGTAGCTTAGGCCCGTTCAGCTAAGCCCAGCCCAGCCCAGTCAAACCCAGTTCAGCCCATCCCAGGTCATCCTATTCCATCCCACCCTAGCTTATATTTTTCAGCCCAGTCCAGCAGGTCCCAAAACAACCCAACCCAGCCTAACTCAGCCCAGCCCCATTCATTTCATTCTAGCACTTACTAGCATAGCTCAGCCCAACTAACCAAGCCCAGCCCAGCCAAACCCAACCCACCCAACCAAGCTCAGCCTAACCTAGCCCGGGCAAGTGCAGCCCAACCTAACTCAGCTCAGCCTAGCCCAGCCAAGCTCAGCTCTGACTAGCTTATCTGAGCCAATCCAAGCCAAGCTATGATCAGTGCAGCCCAGCCCAACCCAACCAGGCTATCCCAGCCCAGTCCAGTTGTGAATAAACTAGTTTAGCTCATCTCAGAGCAGGTAGACAGCCCATTTTAGCCCATTTACCCTTACCCAGTTGGGTCCCCTTTCTTCTGACTGGCCCAGCTCAGTCCAACTCAGCTGAGCACAGGTTAACCCAATTCAGCTCAAACCAGTTCAGCCCAGTCTAGTCCAACATAGTCCAGTTCAGTCAAGTACACCTCAGCCCAGTCCAACCTGTCTCTGTCTGTGAAATCCAGTGGAGCAGAATCCAGATAAACTTACCCTAAGACAGTCAAGACTAGAGAAGACGAGCCAACTAGCTGAGTCTGCTCCGCATGATCCAGCCTATCCCAGCCCAGGTAGATCAGCTAAGCCCAGTTCAGTAAACTCAGCTCAACTCAATCCAGCATAGCCCAGACAACCATAGCTCAGACCATTCAATTAATCAACTTTATTCAAGCCTTGCTTATCCCAATCAGCCCAGCATAGCCCACTATAGCAAATGGGGGCAGCCCAGGCCAACTCAGCCCAGCCCAAGCAGCCTAACTCAGTTGAGGCTAACCTAGGCCAGCCCAGCCCAACTCAGCCCAGCCCAACCCATCCTAGCTCATCCCAGTTCAGCCAAGCTTAGACCAGCTCAATCAGCCCAGCTCAGACTAGTCACCTAGCCAATCTCAACCAAGCCTGGCCCGGCCCAGCCCAACCCATTCTGTTCTGCCTAGCTCAACTGTGCACAACCCAGTAGTTCAGCTCACACAAGGTAGACCAAGACAGGCCATTTTAGCCTATCTAGCAGTATTCAATTTCAGTTTCTTCTTAGCCCAGCTCAGCTTAGGTTAGCCTGGCTCAGCCCAACCCTGAATATTTCAGGCAGGTACCAGCTCAGCTCTTCCTACACCAGTTTCACCTTGCACTGCCCTTCAGCTCAGTCCAGCTCAATTGACCATGGCTTGGAACGACCCAGCATAGTTCAGCTCACCCAGCTGAAAATAGCCCATTTCACCCCACTTTGTGGTTGTTAAGTGCCGTCGAGTCATGTCCGACTCATAGCAACCCTATGCACAGCAGAAGGAAACACTGTCCCATCCCGCGCCAGCTCCAAGATCTACTTAGCTCACCCTATTTAGCTCAGCTAGACAGGGTCCAGCTTCTGCCAGCTTGGTCCGGCCCAGCCCAACCCAGCCCAGGACAGTTCAGTCCATGAGAGTCCAGCTCAGGCTACTTCACTCAGGATGAGGACTACCCGGATTCACCAGTGTGACCCACCAGAACCCAGGAGAGCACATCTCTCTTCACACACATCTGTCTTCCATCCACTCTGGTAGCTACCCTGAGCCCAGCCAACCCAGTCTCACCCAGCTGGATTCAGTCCAACCAACTCTTAGATAGTGTAGGTCAGCCCAGCCAGACTCAGTCCAGTCTAGTTGAGACCCGCCACCCCACAAGTCATAGCTCAGGCCTGCCTCTCTCATGTGGTTCAGCACAGGGACAGCTCCCTGCTGCTATGCCCCATGCCAGGACTCTGGGAAGATAGACCCCAGTCCTAGTCTGTTGCAGACAGATGCCCTCCTCTCTGTCCCAGCCTAGCCTGTGGGATCTTAGAGCCATCCTGAACCACCTCCCCCTGTGGTCCTTCTTTGTCCTCTCCTAGGCCGTGGTCCCCTGCCTTCTCTAGGTTGGCATTAGGCAATCTCCTGTATTCCTACTGCCCTGTGTCCCCATACAGGGAAAGGACAATGGAAAAACCCACGGTGACCAAGAGGCTCCGTTCAGGTGAGGGAGCAGCCTGGGTGTCACTCCCTCCCCATTGGCAGATGGTCTGGTCCTCACTGTCACTCACTCCAGCCCTTCTCACAGGGCTCCCAGAGGCCAGAATACCTGAGGCTTGAGGTCCTAGGGCC